TGGAAAGAAGGATTCGCAAATTACTAATACTAAGACATGGTTCACGCTCCTTATGCAATATTTTGACTTGTCGCAAATGGACCCGCTTGAGCACTTTATGTTTTGGCTTACGGGCAAGGCTCAGGAGTGGGCCGCAGATCTTTTCCTTAAGCACAAGTCCGGCGCGCAACCACTTACCCGCGATTTGTTGCGTGATAAATTCCTGTTACAATATGGGGATGCGAAGCGCGACACCGCGATGGCCGCACGCGATCGTTTGCATGCGCACGAGTACGATATGAAAGTAGACGAGTCCGTACCAGAGTATACACAGCGCTTTTACGATATTGTTCGCGAAGCGAATGATATGAGTGTTGTGGATCAAATCTCTTGGTATATCAAGGGCTTAGTTCCTGCGCTGCGCGGTCGCTGCGCTACGGACGATGAGGGCAAAGACTGGCAGGATTTAGAGAAGCTAATCCTGTATGCTAGTGGTCAGGAGGTTCGGTGGAAAGCCGGAAAGGACAAAGCACAGCTTGCTGTAGTTACTACGCAAGCTGGCCCGTCTAAGATTACTTCCTCCTCTCGTCCTAAGCAATCTCGCCCTCGGTCCCCTTCCAAACAGGCCTGGGAAACGGTTCATGCGAAGAAACCGCGGACGTCCACGTCCGGTACTCCTCTCAAGTGTCGGATGTGCTCTCGCCTCAAACCGGCGAACCAGACTTGGGAAGAGCACAAGAAGGACTGCCTTCGCCACCTGCAGGAGCAGATGGCCCGACTGCAGGAGAAGACGGCTAGTCTAAACGCGAACCGACCGGCTAATTAGGACGCTGGCAAGCGCGAGGGGGTGTTTTGCAAGCAGGCGGTAGCACGTGTAGACAAAGTCTCTTCTGCCGAGCCTGACTTGAAGATTAGGGACTCTGTTGTTCCACCCGTTTGCGATCCGTTGATATGTGATCGGATGTTCCTTCGTGATGAATTTCGAAGGGTTGAGAACGAACTTGGGCGTCAATTTACGTTCGATGCCGCTTGTAACGACTCGGGCGACAACAGTCTCTGTTCGCGCTTTGCCTCTCCATCCAACTCGTTCTTTGATACGGATGTATCTGGCGAGTTTGTTTGGATCAATCCCCCATACACTCATATTAAAGAATGGCAGCAACATTACCACCGCTGTAAGCTAAAAA